ACTTTCTCGACAACGGAACGCCGTTACACGGAAAGCCTCTGGTTAAGTTCGAATTGATCTTCGAATGGCTGGAAAACTGACCGGTTAATCCTTCGTTTCGATATCAATAAAACCGTCGATGACGTTAGCCGAAAAATATTCCGGCTACCGGTTTTTTTTATCAGTTTGACGTTTGAACCGCGATACACCGGTGAATGTTATAAATGAACACGCCGAAGCACGAATCGAAAAGGTTGTCGAACGCCAATGTACACTTTAATCAACTTCAGTTTAATGAAATAACATTCGTCCGATTCAAATAAAACGGTTTCAAAAAACTGTAAGTCTTTGAAAACGCCCGTCGAACCTGTGAATTTCGGGAGAAGTCGCTGAAAATTGTTTCGTGTTTTTCGAATTATATTTCTGCGATCGCCGCTGTACACCCCGGAAAAGAGCGAACGCTATATATCTAATTAAACTGCTAAATTGGTTCTCGAGTAACGAAACGAGGGTTGATTTCGCGCGCGCAACAGCGTGACCATTGGAAACGTAGAAAAGGGCGTGGAATAGAAAAATTCCGCATTCTTTGCGCCACGGTCGAGATCGCTTTCGCGCGATCGTGTCGTTTCGCAGAAATAATATTTGCAATATTAGGGAGAGCGTCCCCGTCCGAATCGATTCGCACACATTAGTCGACGTACTTTGAAAGCAATTTCGTGTCGGTCTTCCAGGGTATTGGAAAAGTGTGCTCCATCGTCATTGCGTAATGTTCCATTATCGTTGCGGCGGATGGCGGAGCGTATCCTTTCCATTTCGCCGACGATTTTCGATAGTCGCCGGAGAAAGAACAATTCGAGAGGACCGGTCCTTAGCGAACCGTATATCATTCCCTTTTTTCATAATACGCACATTCTCCTAGAGCGGATAATAACCATGGCATTGGAATTAATTTAAACACAGCACCGGATTTGTCAAAACACGAGATAACTCGCCATCGGATAATCGTTCGTCTGCTCTATTATGCTAAGTCTGCGCCCTTGGACAAAGCTAACCGAGTTATCATGAGTTGTTCCACGCGAACAAATACGGCCAAATAGTTTGAATCAAACGGGATCAAATTGGCACAGAGGCGTTCAATGATTCCTGTTGTTACTAGGGCTTCGCTGCCAGCTATTCATACGAGAGAGATTAGAAGCTGGGGCTCTTTATCCCAGTAACAACACGAATCGTCGAACTAGCGCGGAAGAGTACACCGTTCAACTCCACGACGAGCACGATGTTTACTCCGAAAATACAAAGTATATCAGGCGTACCAGTGGAATTACGTGTATTATATGAAATTTAATGTTCGAATAATTTTTGGAACAATCGAAACTTCATCGCTAATCGTTTTATCATCGCGATTGATACTTCAATCCTTATCGCTGTCTTGTGATACCCGAATCCCTTTTTATCCTCATAAATACTATATCGTACGCGCAATAAAAGCAAAGAATAAAATCTCGTACTCAAAAACTCCGCAGATGTTCCCCCGCGAAGCCGACAAACAAAAATGCGAAAAGAGCGTTTCATTTCCATGTTTATTCAACATTAAATGAGCCCAAAGCTGTTAACCTAGATAATAGATTCACTCGTTCCTGCCGAACGAAACGTACGAGTTGAACGCTGTGCGGCCGAAGTTTTTATCTTCATTTGCCCGGGACGCTGCAGGTAATCTCGAGATAATAAATTAATCCATCCCTGTTTCCGTGCTAACAAAACACGCGTGTAACAACTGTTCCGCAAAGCTGGCTCGTCCGTTGCGCGCGGATAGAAGGGTCGGCGCGGCGAGAACGCTGAAAGCGAAGCGAGGGAAAATGGCCATCGATCCGGCGGAGAGTTCGAGGCGCACGATATTCAAAACGCGTTCCGCGCCTAAGAGGAAACACGAAGAAGCGTTACACGTGTATCGAGTGCGGCGCATCGCGGCCGCATTCGTGTCTTGGCCCGGCCGCGGATGAAACTGGGCCACCGAGCGCCTTTCCCAGTCCGTTTCGTTTCCCGAACCTCTCAAGGAAAGTGGAAATTCCTCGGCCCGCCCCCGTAAAAAGACATCAAGCTTTCTCACGAAACGTCGGCCGGAAGTTGAAATGCAACTGTCGACGACTGTCCCGGTGAAACAGAAATTAGCCGGTGGAAATGGGATACGCGTCCGTCAGGAAAGAATTCCGGGACGAACGGAGGGGTTGACGTTGACGTAAAGGGAAGAAGGTCTGTCCCACTGTTTTTTGATTTTTGTTCTGGTAGGTATTGGTTTTGGTGTTCGAAATAAAGCGAAAACTTTGTTCAGCGATTGAAGGACTTTTTTAACGCTAGAACTACCGGATGGGTGAAAATGACCCATTCCTGATTTCATTTTTTCCAGTTATTCAACGGATAACACATGCTTCTCCGAAGAAGTACTAGGGAAATTGGTTTGGCAATGGACAAACTGAATTGAAAACCAACTGAAGTTTCTACAGAACAATTTCAAGACAATTTAACTGCTGGGTAGTTTTAGTGTTAATGAGGGTGGTAAATAAGGAATAATTTTACTATTGTTTTTATTTCCGAAGAAATATTCGTTTCGCTTAGAGTGTACAAAGGTTTGGAGTTTTTCGTGTGACGCGAATTCGCGAATAAATTTTGGATAACCGCGTTTTATAAAAGCGGCAGGGTGTGGAGGTTTATATGCGGGGTGTCCAGTAACTTTTGATTCAACGGGGAATGTAATGTTACGTGAAAAAGTGAGTCGAAAGCATAGAATAAAATTTTTGCATTTTGAGACCTCGTTTTCGAGAAAATCAAGCGAGCAAATTTGTCGAGGACAGGTGCGCTTGGCCAACTTCCGACTAAATACAGGTTGTAAAATCGACATGGAGTTATTCCACATGCGAATATGTACAAAAAATGTAGAATGAAGTTTTTTTTATTTGAATCTTCGTTATCGGAAAAACGAAGTTTCAACGTGTTCTGCTGACAGTTAGCCAAATGCAGATGCGCCCGACAAATTTTCAAACTGAATTTCCTCGAAAACGGACCTGCAAACGAACAAGTTTATTCTACAAATTTCTACTTATTTTTTCATGCGAAGCAATTCCGCGTCCACCATACTAGCTATATTCACCCGCATTCAGCCGCATTCAGCCGCACACACGTTTCTACGAACTTTTAATCTTGCTTTTCCCGAAAAATGGATCTCGAACGAACGAATATTCATCTCTCTATTTTCTGATTTACATTTTTCACATATAATCGCCTTTCTTCCAATTACATTTCGCATATAATACACAGCAACGTACAAACTTTCAACTTTAAACATCAACAAAACTTCCACCCGATCTTCGATCCAACGGTTTCTTTAATCAACGCTGCAAAGTTTCGTTTCTCACGGAATATTCCGTGCGTTCGTCGCAAAAAAGTCAAAGATCGGGACTGAGATTAAACGACAGGCCAACGAAACGAAATCAGCGTTCCGATTTCAAGGAAGTTCCGGATCTGTCAATTTTTCGAATCCATTCAATGGAGAAATTCTCAACTTCCATCGACTTCGTCCCTCTGTCCCTGAAGTCCGCTCGCGGATCTGAGACTGTATCGAACAGAGTAGAAGAGGGACTGAATGACGGTTCGAATACACTTAAGCAGCGACTGTAGGGATGAAAACGGGTCGCTGTATGTATATATATATATATATACACACACACACACAGCCGCGGATTTAAGGCGGAATTATGGAAAGCAGCGGTTCCAGCGTGGGGATTACAAGTGTCGGCCGGGGTGAACGTCCACGGACGTTGGGGTCGCGTGGCGTGGTTTCCGTGTCGTTTCGCGGCTGCATCCCGGAAAAAAGAGGGAAGAAAGAAGGGCCGAGAGGGCACGCGCCCGTAACACGTCGTCTCGAGATTATTGGAGTCGCCAAGACGCCGGAAGTTCCCGGTGACGAACTACCGGCTAAACAGAGCACGAAGGGC